TTACGACCCCAATGGCGCTGGAATCCGAGGGCTTGGGATGGTAAGCGGGATCTGTAGTTGGTGGCAGTATCTGAGTTGTTGGTGCAAATCCTGCCCCCATCATCCGTCTTGCTGGGACTGGGAGGCACAAGGCCGAGACACGGGCCAAGAGGGACAGACCAGGGACCGGCAGTTCAGTGTAACGGATGAGCGGGGGTGGGGAGACAAAGGTCTTGGTGGGCGGCTAGATCTCTCGGCGTGGCTTTCTCGGCCAGTCTTGGTACCAGGGTAGAGGGGAGAATACAGCAGCAAAGGTTCTCCGGTGCCTAATGAGGACAGCCACGGAGGGAAGGCCCAAGGTCGATTTCCTCGCGTCTTGGTCACAAAGAAAGAAAGGATGGGAGGGGACCCTGGGCCCGCCGAATGCATTTCATGCATCTCATCATGTCGATTGACCGACTCTAGCACCCTGACACGTGGGAGAAAAGGTTGTTTCTCACGCACCTTGCGACCAACGGGCAAGCTACATCGTTTTTGGTTCCGACTTTCTCAACAGCTCAGGACTGGCGGGTGCATTGCTAGCGCAGGAGGGGAGGCAGTTGGTTGTGGTGGTGGTGTGGGCTTGGAGTATCTTGACTGCCATGGCAATTTGGCAATGGCAATGGCGAGAATGGCTTCCACAAAGTTGGCAGATAAAGCCCCGCACCTTGCCGCCCGTCGCGCTTAGAAAGCACCATTCTATTGGCTCCTCGGCCCTGGACGTGCATACCGGCTCCACTTGCCCGCATCTTCCAGGGAAAGTGCGAGGGTCCAGGTCCACAATTACCAAGGCAAGTCGCAAATGGGAGCTACGGCTCTTCGAGTCTAGCCCCCAGGCAAGTGCGACCTTAACCATGTTTCTAATACGGGAAACAATTCAGATGGTTGGCTCTCGCTGTCTGCTCTGCTCACAGCAAATACGCAATGACGATCTTTTTCCCGATGTCAGTCTTGGAATTCGAACGCCTTTAGAAGGCCAACCGCACCTCTGTGCCACAAGGAACACTCGATGGAAATCTTAATTTCATGCGGATCATCTTGATCGGCCCCTCTGTCCTCGCGCCAGGGAGAACAAGGATAAACCCAACTGCAAGGCCCACCATTGGTCCATGCGCACGTCTGCTACCAACATGGTAGGTAGTGTCTGCCGTATTCCAGCCAGCAAGGAACTGCGTTGAATATGGACATACTACGACTAATATGTGGTAGCATGGAAACGTCGGGGGGTAACCACGCGTATCTTCGTGTGCCAAGGGCGGTTTCCCGATCCAAACCCACCCATGTCAGAGTTCGACTCCTCATGGTCATGGCTCACGGCAACGCTCAGCCGGCCGAGTGCCTTTCAGCATCTCAAACAGCTACACAGTGGTCTGATCCCAGCTTTTGAGCCATTAACATCGCTTAGGATGCGGTATAGTTGCCATCTGTATAAGCAGAGATGCCAAGGTACCAGCCTCGGAAACGCAGCTCCAAGTGTACGTTGCAACGGCGGGCACTTTCTCTTCTCTTTCGTTTCTTTTCCTGCAGCTCCCATCCCCCCTGGTTTGGGCACGCGATTTCCCATAGAATGCTCCAATCATACGCCAGCTGTCATTGACATAACCCCTTCCCATCAAAATAGAAGCCTAATATATCGGTCGTAAAGTCGGCGCAAGTTGCAACACAAGCCAAGACAGAGAACAGCGCGTGGCTTGACCTGGACTCACCAATGGCCGAGCTCCAGATGGACCGTCTGAATTGATCAACAATTCCGAAACGACTCCGGCGTCACCAGCCGGGAGGGTTGGCATGCTTGCCCTTGTCTGGCCTGCCCTTGTCTGGGTCTGCCTTTTGCCCTTCCGCTTCCCTGGTTGTGTAAGTCGAGACCGTAAGACCAGCTGCTGTGTTCTTTGCACCTGACCCTCTCGGACTCAGGGCTGGTCACGAAGCCACTCCAAAGGTGCGACTCCGTGTGAGGCAGATTCGCCCCCACAATGCTACTTCGCGTCCCTGATTATTTCTCAAGCGAATGAGAATTCGACATTTTCCTACCTTGCATTCTCAGTACCACCTAAGCATGTTCTCGCTTGTGTCTCCCACGTTGCGCTGGTCATACCCTCTTGGCAAGCTCGGCGGCGCTTACTTGGGACGAGCAGCCAACAGAAAGACCGCGTGGAACTATCTGCCAAGGATGAAGGTACTTTCGGTTCGCTCTCATAGAGGCAAATCTACCATAGGTAGGTCACATTGAATCATTGAGCATATCACACTTCACAGCGGCACGGATTTTCTATGCGGCATGTCGGCGTAGGAGCATAAGCGTCAGCTTTAAACAAACCACAAGCATTCTGCGCCGTGAGCGGTAAGTGGTTGAGTCTAACGCAACCCACGATTCTCTTAGAAAGCTTTGGTGACGTGTTAACATGCGTTCGAGTGCCAAATGAGTGGATTTGAACGCAGTCCGACTGACCATAGCACCAGTTCGAGACATCATGTGTTGGAATCACGGCCGGGGCCTAGTGCTTTCTAGTTCTTTGTTTCATTGAACGCCGGGCTTGTCGCTACCCGTTGGGTTCTTCTGGATGATCAATTATCTACCTCAAACTTTTCGGGCAAAGTGAAGCTTCTCGTATTAGAATGGACTCGTGTTTCCACAGTTCTCAGCGGCTCGGAGCAGCGCAACCCTACCAAATGTCTGCGCTTCCCCCCTTCTCCGGTGTGACACGCCGAGATAGCCCAATGGGAAGTGATCTAAAGTTTCATGAAATGAAAATTTTTTATCCGAATGACCAAGAGGGTAGTAACAGGAGGCATGTTACCAGGGAAGATGGTGGGATGGCCAGTGTGATGAAAGACCTTGTCTTATACCATCTACCTTTTTGGAAGAGAAGTCCTATTCACCTGTAAGATGTATATGAATATATGTAATGAAAACAAGTGTGTGAGGTCTGTAAGGATAGGGGCTGGTTTTCTCATTTGCCCAACATTATTCTCATCTGGTTGATTGTGCTTGAGGAGTTCGAAAAGACACGAGTAAGAGCGCATTAATTAGGCAGTGAACACTTGAGCAGAAGAGGTGTTACAAAACCATGAACAACATTTTCAATCAAAACCAGCAATTGAAAGTTTTTAATGTTATTCTACATGCTTTGAACAATATTGTTATGATTATTCTGGGTGTTTTGGCCTCAACCGTTCATTTTGTCTGGTCAATTGAGTCTAGGGTAGCTCGCGATTATGAAGCTGCCCAAAGCTCTCCACAGCTTCAAACGATTCCTCTTCACTCCTTGCTAGCTGGGTCTGTCCAACACAACAACGCATCTACTCGAATTTATAGGTGCCTGCTCTTAGCACCTCGCCAGAAGTCGCCAAAATGTCGCGCAGACAAGCAAAGGGCGACTATATCGAGACTGTATGACCCCATCCCGTCTAGCGACACCGCCACAACCATCCCCCATCATCTCTGTAAGCTAGCTGCTGACCTGATGACGCCTTTTAGGACAGCGGAAACAAAGTCTCCCGGAAGGCTATGCTACAGGGCACGCAGAACATCATGCTCGGAGGCAAGGCCGTCATCCAACCCGAAGTCATGATACGCGGCGACCTCGTCAGAACAGCCCCCTCGTCCTCATCCAGTAGCGCTCCCGCCAGCTCCACCGCCGTCGCCATCGGTCGATACTGCTTCCTCGCGCGCGGCGCGCTGCTGCGGCCGCCTGGCAGGATCTACAAGGGGACGTTCACGTACATGCCGCTGCGGATGGGGGACCATGTGTATGTCGGCCAGAGCACGGTGGTGCAGGCCGCGACGGTCGGCAACCACGTCCACATTGGGAGGGACTGCACGATCGGGGAGTTCGCCATCATCAAGGACTGCGTGCGGATTCTGGACGGCACCATTGTGCCTCCTCACATGGTCATACCGAGCTTCTCCATCGTCGCCGGGCAGCCTGCCAGGTTGATCGGGGAACTCCCTGAGGGTGGGAGTCTGGAGGATTTCGAACTACGCGATCTCTACAAGTCTGTTGGCAACAACCCCCAGCCACCTGCCCCTTGAGCGTCCGTCATTGTATCATTCAAATAATCTGTTTGATTATGGGTGTACAATGTCATCGGGTTCCCAAGGATTCAGAGCAACTTGGGGGCTAGAGATGCCACATTCTACACCAATTTGGCTTAGGTCTGGCATCAATTCGTCTGTTCCATGACACTCCTGGCACGTGAAGAAAGCCCAAAATGCTCGACAAGCGATAATTCGGAGGATCTGCATCAATCGCACCCCTGGAAGGAATGCCCTACCGGCTAAAACCACAGGACTGACGGATTAATTGGGACTGCTCCCAACAAGCTTTAGTGTCTGACACCTGCCACAGCCATGTTACCCAACCCAGATCCAACATCATGGATAGCAAACTGGCTGATCGTTCATGTTACACCGAGCTGTGACACAAACGGTCAGCGGTGGGATAGCCTAGGTCTAGGTCTTACCCTCTGAAAATAGACAGTTCCTGCCTTCAAGCTCGAAGTGGAACTGGTGGAGAGCTGCTAATTCACACAATAATCTCACGATACGGCCCCCATATTCATCAGCAATATATATAGCTATGCGACGGTGGTCAGATCAACACTACTTATGCATATTGATTACGAACTACACCGCACGCATTCTGTATGAAGTTTTCTGGTTCTATATCCTAGAACCGAGGAAACCTCGAGCCGATGTAGGTCTGGTATTATCCGCAGAGATGGAAAAGGGGCTGCTGAACTGTTGCGGGGAAATTTTGGTTGGAGAGCCCGTGATCGCCGGCTCGAATAGGCAGCTTGCGGATTTTCTCTCCTCCTTCGTGACCGCTTTTCTGCGCAAAGATAGACCGAGCATAGACTGATGCCAAGGACCAAAGAGTTATCACTAGATTATAGATCATCTTCTCGTTGTCGATGAACACAATGGATTCGTCGAGTGGTGCCCGCTTCACCTGCCTTTTTACTTACTCTAGTCACCTACAATGAGACTTTTTAGCCTCCACCGCCTCGCTGTGATTAATTTCGCGATCATTGATAGTGTGAAAGGAGCTTCCGAGGCCTCTTACAAGCTGTACTACAATGCGTCGGCTGTCCGTGACTTCTTCGATGCATTGCCGATAGGTAACGGGCGGCTCGGGGCCGTTGTCCACGGCTACGTTGACAAGGAGCTCATCCGATTGAACGAGGAGTCAATCTGGAGCGGAGGGCCCATGGACAAGGTTCCCCCTACCGCCAAGGATAATCTCGAGACGCTCCGCCAGCAGATACTCAACGGTTCTCTAACAGAGGCCGGAGAGACATGGAGCCAGCACTTTGTTCCCGAGTACGATGATATGCGACGCTATCAGCCCGCAGGAGAGTTGCGTATTGACTTCCCGCACGGTCAGGCGGACGTTTCGGGCTACAGACGAGAGCTGGACATCTCGAATGGAGTCGTATCAGTCTCGTACAATTATGGAAACGTTACGTATTCTCGGGAGTCCATTGGCAACTATCCACACAATGTCCTGGCTTTCAAGATCTCAGCAGACCAGCCCGGTTCGTTGAGTCTGAGTCTCGGGCTGACAAGGAGCTTGAATGCCACTCACATTGCGGCTGAGCTCAGTCCCCGACAGTTGACGCTTCATGGGACGGGGCAGGAGGATGATACCTATCGCTTTGCTTCCAAGGCGCGGATCGCACTCGCAAACGGTAAGTCATGATATCTTCCAGTATCTTGGTCTTTATTGTAGCAGGACAACGTCTGATGGTTTAAAAAAAGACACTGGCACTGTCTCTTCCAATGGTACAGCTATCGAGATCACTGACGCGGATGAGGTCTGGATATTCTACTCTGCCGAGACCGCCTATCACCACCCTGATGCAACCTACGATGGCCTTGACAAAATAGTGGCCGAAAGGATGGAGGAAGCGTCTCGTCTTGGGTACGAAGCACTGCGAAGACAATCCATCGAAGACTACCAGAGCTACTACAACCGCTCATCCATTGACCTGGGAACTTCAGACGAGATCGGGTTGAGGACTGTACCCGAGCGCCGCGAGAACTGGAAGCACGGCGGCAACGTCGGGAATGACATCGAATTCATGTCTCTCCAGTTCAACTACGGCAAGTATCTGCTCATCCAGTCGTCCCGTCCCGGAACCTTGCCTGCCAACCTGCAGGGCATATGGAACCAGGCCTTCAATCCTGCGTGGGACAGCAAGTTCACGCTTAACATCAACCTGGAGATGAACTACTGGCTTGCGCAGCCTCTCGACCTCCCAGAGATTGCGGAGCCCATTGTTGATTTCCTGGATAAGCTGTCCGTAGTTGGTCGTGATGTGGCCACTCGCATGTACGGTGCAGATGGATGTAAGCACATGTCCCTGAAATATCATAGTCCCTTGATGAATCTAGATGCTAACTCGTTGCTTTTCTCATAGGGTGTGCCCACCACAACACAGACATCACATTCGACGCAACGCCATACCACGGTCTGACAATCGCAGCGCCCTACCCCCTCGGCGGCGCCTGGGTAGCCTTCGAGGCCATCGAGCACTTCCGTTTCACGCGCGACAAGACCTTCGCCAGGGAGCGCACGCTCCCGATCCTCAGGGGCGCCATGGACTTCATCTACAGCTGGGCGACGCAGCGCGACGGCCACTGGATCACCAACCCCAGCTGCTCCCCCGAGAACTCGTACTACATACCCGAGGGCATGTCCGTGGCCGGGGAGAACACGGGCATCGACGCCGGGGCCATGAACGACCGCGCCATCATGTGGGAGGTGATGCAGGGGTTCGTCGAGATCTCCGAAGCCCTCGGGCTGGACGAGGGCGTGCAGCGGGCTAGAGACTTCCGCGACGGCATTGAGGGCCCCGTGGCGGGATCGTTTGGCCAGCTGCTCGAGTACTCGCGCGAGTTCCGCGAGAATCAACCGGGACATAGGCACTTCTCGCCGCTGGTGGGCGCGCACCCGGGGACGTGGACGACGCGACTGACCACGCCCGAGGACGCGGAGAAGGCGTACACACTCCTGCGGTGGAGGATGGACAACGGGGGAGGGGGGAATAGCTGGGCCGTGACGTGGGCGAGCGTGCTGCACGCCCGGCTTTTTGATTCTGCGCACGCGCTGCAGTACCTGGTTGAGTTGCAGGATCGGTGGGTGCATGAGAACCTGTTCAGTCGCAACGGGGGCTACTTCCAGATCGACGGGAACTCGGGCTACACGGCGAGTGTGGTGGAGATGTTCCTGCAGAGCCATGCTGGTGTTGTTCACCTGGGTCCGGCTATTCCTGAGGCCGGTCAGGGCTTATCCTCTGGAAGCTTCAAGGGATGGATCGGCAGGGGAGGGTTCAAGATTGACATGGAGTGGGAGGATGGGAAGGTCCGTGGAGCGTCTATAACCTCCTTGAAGGGCAGCCCGCTCAAGATTCGAATTGGAAATGGCGTACCGTATAAGGTCAATGCCCGCGAGTACAGAGGTGTAGATGGGGAAGCTTTTGGGACCCAGGCTGGCGAGATATATACGATAACCGTCTGAGGTTTGTCTCTAGACCAAGACTTATCACTCAGAAGGTCCTTGAGGTTTAATTCTGTTCTTTAGGGAGCCAAAATAACTGAACAGATCAAGGGCTTACGGCCACGTAATTCCTCGGTTGCTCTTAGGTGCAAATGTTGCGTTGTTGGTTGATGGCTTACGAAAGTCACCCAACCACTTTTTTAAGGTGGCTATGTCTTATGTGCTCCCAAGAAGGTATACTTCTAGCTGTTCGGGCTGACTGAGACCCCTCTTCCTTCATTCACACATCTGGCCCTCCGTAGTCGTGATATGTCTCTTCCTTGCTGCTGGGGTGAAGTGGAGGGGACTAGCTACGTGGGGGAGAAGGGAAGCAGCCAGGGTTTTGAGAAGAACTAGCAATTAACGCAATAAGGCAGCATCTAGGATTGATATCAGACTGCTGTTATCTCAGCAGCAGGTTGTTTCTGCCTACTTTCCTGTCTAATACATGGGGAGATCGTGCCTCCTCCTCCTCCAAGGCGGCACACTCAGGCCCTTGACGTGGAAATGAGATACAATATCAACTACTAATGAAAGAGGAGCAGTAGGTACCACAAATTATATGAGAGGGTAACACTTGTTTTCCAGTGCGCCATATCCCATTAGCTCCTGGGTACATAGTTGGGGTAGTTAGTCACAGTGACTCATTTAGACAAATGATGAGTAGGATCAACACGTTCCCCAATGAGGACACAGCTGCGGTAGCGTTCATGTAGCTGAGCGTATTCCGGTAACAAAAAACAATCGAATTCGAGCTATTGAATGTATTTTGAGTGATATATTTCAAGATTGATAATGCCGGCTATTTAAGGGGCCTCCTCCCCTGACCTGGGCAACGTTGACCGACCCTTTTCCTTTCCAAGAGCGACCATACTCCGCGGCTCGATTTCATTGTTGCGATAAAGATCAAATGTAAGATAATCCTCCAATATTTCCTAGATATGAGCCCTTCCGATGATGAGAAACCCTTCACTCGCCGTTCCGTATACACAATGTGGACAAAACACACGGCACTGGTTTCGCCGATTCTGATAACCTTCAAAATGCCCTCGCAAACTCTGCCAATGTATCCAGAAACCAGAACCAAAGTCGGCTAACGATTATATACTGATAGATTGTTGACCCGCCGATTCTGTCCCGATATCGTATGCCATGTCCGTCCTGGAGAAGAGTTATTAGTGATCAACTTCCGCGTTGCAGAGAATAATTGAAGAATGAAATACCAATCGTCGTCTGTCAAGGGGTGGAAACTCCCAATCATCTGACGCCCCGGATCGTCTGTGAGGAATCGGAGACTCCCTTCTATGCCGTTTTGGCTCGCGATTGAGCCTTCCTCCATCACTTCGTGAATCGTCCCAAATCGGTAGGCCTCTTTGGAATGGAGCGCCACATATCTTCGAATGCTGTTGTATCCATTAACACACAAAGTCATTCACGTGGTGAGAAAAATTGATGTATTACCTAGGTGCGGTGAACCTCTCGCCATAAGGTAACACATGCTCAGCATACCCACTCGGAGCGGAATCCTCAACGTCCTGGATCTTCTTTAACCTTCGCCGCTTCTGGTAGTTCTGCTCGTCCCCGTAGTTGCGGATGGATTCCTCAAAGAAGAGGAGGCGTGCCAGTCCGTGCAGCTCAGACGGGTTCTGATCCCCTTGGAATATGAACTGGTCGATTCGGGACCTCTCCAGGGAGTCCCAGTACACGTCAAAGTTGTGACTGCGATATTTGTATAGACGATACTCATATGCTGCAAAAGCGTGAGAAAAATCTGTCTTATATCATGAGGAATGGGATCACACACAAGGACTTCGGCGTGTTAGATCAATGGTATTGGTCCGTGTCATGATCGAGGCAGCCCCTCTTGGTGTTGTGTATACCTGGCGACCGTCGTAGGCAACACAGGCACAGTCGACATCAAATCCCGCCAGCACTTCGCTAATAGACTTGTACAGACGGAGTATGATCTGAACATGTGTAAGATGACTCGTAATTATCGAAAAAAGAGGGTGCATTTACCTGAACGTGCCTATACGGCCATCTCGGCGAAATGAAGGTTATGGCATTGTTCGTCCGCAGAGTCAAACCACCATCTGTCAGGAGCCGTTGATTTTTCCTGATGGTGGACTCAATCTGGATGATTTTTCTGGTCGCCTGCTCTTCATCCAAACCGTAGAGAAACAGATCAATGTCACTGGCGCTCGCTATTTCCCTATCAACGTGTTACTTCCCGGTGAACCAGAATGAGTGGCAATGGGGGGGGGATTGGCTGTGTACTGGAAATATGTCTCCAAAGGATTCTCAACAGCCGGATTGAATGATATTTCTACATCATCTCGTCTGGGGAGAAGAGGGAGGAGGGCGGATGAGCCGGCTGCAATGACATTGGACCAGTCTTGGATATGTTATAACGCGGTTAGTCTCTTTGAGTCCTGATGATAAATTCTGAACTGCATTTGTTTACCTAGGCCAGATAAAGAGGCTGCATGATTATGAAACCGATGTCAGATAATTGAAGATAAAAATATGCTGCGTTGATCCCGGCGGGTGCTCACCATGAGAGAAAGCCTCGAAGTTTGTCTGGTACTGCTCCAAAGACGTCACGACGGCGGGAGCGCCGGGCCGACCGACTTTCTCCGCCGGCAGACGCAAAAGGTACTTTTCAGGCCCGTAGACATCCCGTTCTATGACCCTCGACGTGAGGAGGCTCTGCGGATGCGGGTAGAGGGGGATGAGGTGAGGTAGCCCGGCTGCCTGAGGGTCACCGCGAGCGAAGGCCTGTCGGAGCTGCGCCTCGTCGTCCAGGTACGGCTGCAGCAGCGACTTAATTGGCGTGCCGGAGTACTCTGACAGCTGCTGGAGGAACGGGGAGATGGTCGACGGGCCTTGGGGATTAACATTCCGGGAGGCTGCTCCCGTGGCCGATCCCTTCTCCGTGTGATGGGCGTCGTTTGGCCGGTCGGGCTCGACGTCACGGGCCGAGCCCAGGCAGCACAGCGAGGCGAAAAGACCCATGGCGCTTGCGTACAAATACACTAGAAGGAGAATGGATACAGTAAAAATGATGTACGGGCGTGTCCCTCGTTTATACAAACTCCTGGAATGCTCACGGCAGAGTGGAAGAGCCAAGGACTCGACCAGTCATGCTGCCTGTATAATCGGGCAAGTAAGCGCAGATGGCCATTTCAGCCCTGCGACTCCTGCCAGGTACATTGGATATTAATAAGACATGCTGCAGTTCGGCTGGGAAGTTAAGGCAGTATGCCTCAGCTGAAGAAAGGGCCTAGCGAGGATCGACAGCGTTCCACCTGTCCTTGGTCTTAGGCGATTTAGCGAGAAGCGGTGATGCATATTTTATGACTTCATTTCGACGCCACACCGGCGGTGGAAGGTCTGTGCCTGATTCTAGCGATAATGTGCTTTTTTAACACATGCCAATTCCCTACGCTACGATGCTCGAGATTCCATATAGGTGGCTTTTCCCCAGTCGTCCCTTGACATGTTACACCGGCTAAAAATAATCGAGATCCTGTACATAAAGTCTCACCATGCATAAATAAGCATGACCCGCCTTTAGGGTTGGAGCAGTGTGGCTGGTTACATGTAGGAATTGCCCAACGAACCTGTCATGACCACTAATTCACTGGACAGCGTTTTCCCCATTCGATTTGGCTTACCTTGGCCACTCTCGCGGCTCTGATGAGGATCACAAGGCCATACCTTTACCACATACAGTATGTTGGTTAGAGACCAACTGTTGGCACAAAGCATATTGAGTCAACCGCCAATTGATTCTAGAGTTGTTGTACCCTATAGATCATCCCTAATAAATCAAAACTTTTGCATACGCTTCCCTCTAGAGGGTTTTTGAGATCCAACACCCATCAGCATCATCACATCCAGCACGGGCAACATCATGCACTGGTGCCACCACGACCGCCCACTCCCCATTGTGCCTGAGCCTGCTCGACATCGGCTGAAATAGGTGGCAGCTCGCGCCCACGGCCGGTCGGCAAAGGCAGGAACTTGATCGTTGCCAAGAACCTCAGATACCTTCCAATATTCTCGCGCGTGACGCCCTCACCAGCACTATCGTCAACACCCGTCCAGCGATCAGCGTCGCCCTTGAGGACAGCCACGGTGTTCCTGTCGTCCAGCTCAGGTGCGCGCGTTGTCGACGGTAGGTCCGACGTGGCCATGTGGAACAATGGCATGAGCGCACTCTGCTCCTGATCCTTCTCGACCGAACCGGCCAACACGAATTCCTCGAGCCGCGTCTTCCACTCCTCGTAGTCGACTTCAGGAACATCGTATCCGTAGTAGTTCAGCGCCGAGAGGAACTCGCTCATGCGCAGTCTCGGGTGCGCAGTGACGTGACAGACATTCACCCCGGGTAGCGGGTTCAGGGCTGAGGCAACGACGACCTTGGCAACATGATCGACTGGGATGGCGTTGACGGTATTGATGATGCGAGGCCTGGCGCCCAGCTGGATGCAGCCCTTGAGGAGTCTGATCAAGAAATCATCCGTATTGGACACACCATTGTGGCCGCCGAGAATGTACCCAGCTCGGACGACGGAGCCACGGAGGCCACGCTTGCCAGCCTCGCGAGCCAGTTGCTCAGAAACCCACTTGGTTTGCCCATAACCAGTGCCCAAACCCCCCTGACGGTTGGTCTCTGTATCGTCCGACTCAAGCACGGCGCCGCGGCCGACGGCGACCTGGTCTCTTGAGAGGTTATAGTAGTACTCGGTGTCCAGAGTCGAAGTTGAGGAGACAAAGGAGAAGAGCTTGGCCTTGCCCTCATTGCAGAGCTTCATTGCATCAATAACAGAGAGGACGTTGCTGTTCACCATCTGCTCATATCGGGCAATCCAGTGGACATAGGCACCGTTGTGCACTATGACATCTGCTGTCTCAGCGATGTGCTTCCAACTGGCATCATCAAGACCGAGACGAGGCTTGGACAGGTCGCCGAGAACACACGAGATCCTATCCTCCCATGAGTCTTGCCATAGGAGATAGCCCTTGAGTGATCTTCTCAAGCGCTCCTTGGCATAAGCAACATCCTTGGCTCCACGGATGTGTGTAATGAGCTTGGTGTTCCCCCTCTCCAAGATGTCCTTGACTAGGTATGCGCCTAAGAAACCTGTGGCACCAGTGAGGAAGAATGTGGCACCGCTTGATGGGCTCAGGGCATCTGGATCCGCTGTCTGATACTTTTCGTCCAGTGTCTTCATCAACGTATCCAATGATTTAGCATAGTTCGATTCGGATACCTTTTCGACAGCTTGACCACTGCGTAGTTGGTCAATCTGGCTGCTCAAACCCCGCAGAGTCGGGTGGTAATAAAGAACGCCAATAAGAATATCCGCGTTCAGGCTCTTTCGTACAGATAGCAACATTTGCTGGGCGAGCAAGCTGTGCCCGCCGCAGTCGAAAAAGTCCGAGTCGGGCCTGAGCGTTTTGGCGTTTAGGCCTGGAATAAGAGTTGCCCAAAGCGAGGCGACCGTCTTTTCTGTATCTGATAGGGATTCCCAGCTTGCCAGGTCCTCTTCTGAGGCTTCCTCCATGATTTGCGCTGCATCGGGGAAAGGCAGATTTGGGGAATCAACCTTGCCGTTTGGATTGAGAGGAAGCTTCTTCAGTATAATAAAGACCGAGGGTATCGAGTGAGACGCAAGACGGTCCTTGAGATGGTCACGAACAACCGCCTGAAGGGCACGAAACCTCTTGAGGTAAACAACAGCAGGTCCAATCTCGATACCCTCATCCTTAAGATCTTCTTGATTGTTGGCTTCAAGCCAGCGCTTCCACTCAGTGAGCTCGGGAACGATATAACTGACAAGCTTAGGCTCCTCATGGGCGTCTCTCCGGACAAGCGTCTTGCAGTCTTGCACAAGAGGGCTGTTGCTCAGATTAGCGTCAATCTCGTTGAGCTCAATTCGGAAGCCACGAATCTTGACCTGAGAGTCGATTCGTCCAGATACACGCACGGCTCCCGAGGGAAGATACTGGCCGAGGTCTCCCGTTCGATAGAGCTTATCATGAGGCCCATTATAAAAGGCGCGCCATGGCTCTCCCTTGTCCTTGGCTTTATCAGCCTCTACCCACTTGTTATTATCGACAAACCAGTTGTCGATGAATTTCTCTTTGTTCAGCTTAGGGTCATTGAGATAACCTGCTGAAAGTCCGGCAGCTCTTATCATCAACTCGCCAACTTCTCCAACACCGCACAACGTCTTATGATCCTTCTGAGATACAACAAGAACCTGGACGTTCTCCATTCCCCATCCCGCGGGGATGGTGTCACCCAACGAGTCCAAAGCGGCGGGATCCTCTTCGGCGGATGGAATTTCAAAGTAAGAGACGGCCCGAGAAGTCTCGGTCGTTCCGTACATATTTACTATGCGGCATGCTGGCCCTAATCTCTGCAGGGCCTTGCAGTCACGAGTGGTCAGAACATCGCCAACGAAGAAGACATGACGCAGGGAGGGGAATTTGGCGCTAGATGCTGCCACAAGCACATTGCCCATTGCAGGAGTCAAGTGCGTGACGGTGGGTGACCAATCCCGCATCCATTCGCTGAGCTTCTCGTGTGCGATGTCCTCCTTGGCTGGAATTAGAAGATGGGCGCCGAGAAAGAGTGGTGTGAATATGTCTGTGTACAAGCGTCAGCTGAAGCAGGACCGATACCACACTGACATGTCTTACCTCGCTGAATGGGATCGTGGGCAATCCCGCTAAGGCAAGCGAACTTTGAATCTGCTGTGAGGTTGAAGCGCTTCGACATCCAGGGAAAGTATTTTGCCAAGCTGTAATGACGCCCCAAGACACACTTGGGCCTTCCCTCGGATCCCGAAGTGAAGGACATGACAGAGACAGAGTCTGGGCCGACTAGAACGTCGGGGGGTGATGATGCTTTGGAGCGTAGTGTGTCGAAGATATCTACGCCATCTTGCTTTCCGCCAAAGAGGATGCCGTCGTCACTCATTCGGAGTTCAGGAATCTGGGTCTTGAGAGACAGTTGCTCGTCGACATACTTCTGTACGAGCGGAGCAAGTGGCCTATAGATGATCTGTTAGCAAAGGGAAGATGATCCTGTGATGATGGTGTTGGTTTGTTGTCGTTGTAGTTGTTGTCGTTGTAGTGGTGGTTGTGGGGGGGGGGCGCTGTTTGCGACATCGCAACCACGGAACACACGAACCCATTTTCGTCAATGGTCTTGCCAATTGAGATCATGGCCTTGGGCTGGGCCGACTCGAGATAAACTACCCCCATTAGTTGAACGGCTTCATCAAGAATAGGGCAAGGAGAGCCTACTTTGCTGCCTTTGCGGCGGGTACAGCGGGTCGAGGACTGTGACTGTAGCTCCAGCAGCCTGCAAGATAATATCGGTCAGTCGAGTCCGATTGAGGCGGATATGATGGACCTCACCAAAACTCCCATAAATGCGCAGATCAGCTCTACAGTTCTGTTGGCGAAGATCATGACCACATCTCCATTGGTGATGCCAGCATCGTGCAGATGGTTGGCGATTGTGTTGGAAGCCTCGTATATTTGCTGATAATTGAAGCTTCTCGTCGGCGACCTGGATAAAACTTAGCAGCTGGAGCTGGGAGAGTCGGATTGGACAAGACTATTTCTTACGTAGAGCTCTTGGTCTCTGTCACGCAAACTCGCGAAGGGTGCGCAACAGCATTCTTGGCAAAGATCTCATGAATTGCACCGATGTAATCACTCCACCCAAGATCCGACGTGGGGTCGGGGAACACTGACTCGGCCATTGCGGTGTCAATTCTTGCTGGGCAGTCTATGAAACCAAAGGAAGAGCTGAGAAGAGTGTTGATTGATGATGGGCTGTAGATGAAGCAAGTTAGATGGCGTCTCGAGGCGCTTTACCGAAGTAGTTTTTCTCGCTATTATGCGTCAATGGAGCTCCGATTTTCGGGAGGGGCAATTCCAAGAAATCCCAATCCAAAATGCAGCAGGGTGGCCGAGACTGGAAGTTTCACCATGAAGCCACGTCTAAATTCGTGCCGATGACCAAATATGAGCAGTACACGGCTCAATATAATTGCGCTCTGTGCATTAGCAAAGCCCGTAGAAAGATAAGATAGAATTATCTTGCAAGAGTGCGCGCTGATCTCTCACAGAAGCTACTCACGTGATCAGTACCAGTCTACCGGTATCGTCACCCATCGCCTTGCGTTCCAACTCTCGTGTCACAGCGGCAGGTTCTAATTTGGAATAACGAATTTGGAACTGCAGACCAATAGGCAAATAAAGCGATGTGAGTAGAGAGGTGTTGCCTAAGGCGTGGTGTTAGTGAGGAAGGCGCGCTTGAGTTCTCAGGAGCACCTGCCACAAGGCCGTAATAGCAGTTGGCTACCTCCTGGTACTCCCGCAGATCAGGAAGTAGCACATACCAAAAGATCACATCGATTTGGCCTCGCTGCCTGGTGCTCACATCAGTTGTCCCCTACAGACTACAATGGCAATGAACAATAAGCATGACCGACCCACCTTTGGTTTGGAGTAAGCTGCTACTATTACTGGCGAATAGCCTAGCGAACGTGTTGATCCCTAACCAGCTCAGCGATGCTTATCCCTGCCCTCACTAACTGTCCTCGCACATGACCATGGTCACCACTCACCACGACTCTAGCAGCTTGATCTTGGGTGGCGGGAAGCGGAGGATGACCAACTGACAGAGAACGCCATTACTTCGAGGAACCCCGATGCCTTGGTTTGACGACCTTCCCCATCATTGATTCATTGCGAGGCAACATGGGCAACAAAGCATCGCTCGCGGCGGATCTGCCCATCAGAGCCCGTGCAGCCGATACTAGCCGTCATCGCCAGCCTAATGAGCTCTGCGAATGGTGTAGCAGACTTGAAGTCAGGGCTATGCTGCTGGAGGAAAAAGTCGAAGTGAAGATGGGACCCCTTTCAGAACATCTCACGCCAGACTGCCCCTTTTGCAACTTGATATCGGAGACCATCCGTCAAAACTGGGGTCCTGGCTGGAGTTCGGAGCGCCTGTGTGCTGAGACTACTCCCGTCCCACGGATCTTCATGCAGAGCCGCAGCCCTTTCTCTATCAAGATCAACGGTCATATAGAGCATCCGCAGCCGCGCCTTCTCATGGCCATAGACGTGAGACCGCCGGGGTACAGCGAGAATCGCAGAGTCATACGAGAAGTCGATCGGGTGAAGGACCGTTTCATCATTGCTGAAATCGAATCTGTGCCTAGCGACTATGATGACTCTAAGTTGAAGGAGGCATCGTTAGTCCCCCGTCGTGATGTGGGACCGGAGATCGACTACAAACTCGTCAAAACATGGCTTAAGCTCTGTCACGACCATGAACATACTCTCAAAGCCAAAGAGTTGATGACTTTTGAGATGTTCGATAGCAGGAACGGGTTTCGCCTGATAGACGTGGAGAAGCAATGTCTTGTTCTCGTCAAGGAAGCTTGCGCTTTTGCAGCACTCTCCTATGTTTGGGGGAGACTCCCGACCGTGTTGCAACCTGGTGAGAGCAATGGGCAGAAGCCTGTCTTGCTCACCACACTTGACAACCTTGACAAGCTGAGTACCCCCGGAGGCCTATCTCCCGAGGCGATTGACAAAATGAACACTGGTCGTCTGCCTCAGACCATACACGACGCCATGCTCTTCCTGCGGACTCTTAGCATGCGATATCTTTGGGTCGATACCCTTTGCATCGTCCAGGATGATCGAAAGGACAAGGAATTTATGATCCAGAGCATGGACGACGTTTATGACCATGCTGCGGTCACCCTCATTGCTGCATCGGGGAGCAATGCAGACGCTGGTCTGAGAGGCGTAAGCTACCGAGACGGCCGGCCCATTAATTCCTTCACTATTATCGACGACGGGATCACGGAGCATCTCAGCATATGCCCACCATCACTAGGAGAGGAAGTGCGCGCTTCGGTCTGGAACACTCGAGGCTGGACATTCCAGGAGCAAGCTCTCTCACAGCGATGCCTGTACTTCACCCCCGAGGAGCTTTTCTTCAACTGTATCAAGTTACAATGGAGAGAGGCATATGCGCTAGAATCTATCAACCCAAAGACGAAACTGGAGATGAGGACAGGGCCGCCTTGGTGGAACAGGAAACTGAGACAAGATTTAGATCCGACTCCGTATCGATACCTAGGCGATCTGACAGGCTCGTTGACGATGAAGGACTACCAGGCCGCAGTGCAGGATTACAGCCGAAAGACGCTCTCATTCCCAGAGGATGTCCTGCATGCTTTTGAAGGAGTCGTCAACAGGTTCAACAAATGCACACCCTTTGGCTCCATTTCATTAGAGCAGACGCAGGGCATTCCCGTTCACCTTTTCCACAAGGGCCTCCTCTGGTTTCCCTCAGAGGAGGCGCAAAGGCGAGTCTGCCCCAACATTGAGGGAGCACGCTTTTCCTCTTGGTCATGGTAAGACAGCCCGTGCAAATGAAGGCCATGCGAGATTTTACAAGATGAAGCTCTAGCTAACTTTTAATCCACAGGGCATCCTGGGAAGGACCGGTTGAATTTGTCTTTGCAGACAGTCTGTGGCTTTCAAGAAACATTTCCTATGCGCCGCACCACAATGTCCCGATGCACATGTTAATACTGAATTGGCATTACGGAGGTGACAAGAAAACTATCAAGTGGCAGGACGTATCTAAGTGTACTCCCCAGCGAGGCAGACCAGCAAAGACGGACGATCTGCCTGATCCAACCAAACTACTCCAGGATTACGTACAGAAAGAGGTAGGGATTGATGTAGACGCGCTGGCGACGACGGGGAAGGAGGGCGTGATAGAGTCACTGGGACCTGGGGAAGTGGGGTTCATGGGGGCCTATATCAATGCCTCCCACGTCTCACTGTCAGCGAAGGGTAAAAGCAAGCGGATACACGCGTTCGAGTTTGGCGACCACCGCGGGGAGTTTAGATTCGACGTGGAGGGCTCTACTGATGTCGATGAGTTTGTTGCCGTGCTCACAGCCGACACGATCACGAAACCCCCCGACATCGAGTCCATCTTCTTGGGCCTGGTGACGGTTGACGGAGTGTCGAGGAGAGTCGGCATTGGCTGGGTATACTATTCCAGAGCGGAGGGCGCGTCGAGACCGCCCTGGGAGTACAAGTTCTTCACGCTGAGATGAGTCACAGCAGTCTATTTGATAGACATGGTAATAGAGGATCTGTTATAATAACACCGTCCCTGCTATCAGTCAGGATAATGCATGATTATGAGTATCCACTCGCTGGGAGCTTAACCGGCGAGCTTGGACTAGTTCCTTCATGCAGGGAGGCACCAACCTCTCTCTTATACGAAGAGAATGGTGGTTGCTGGAAAGTGGCCATCTGGGATACCGCGCAAGCATTCCTTGTTGTCAAATACAATCTAGATTAGCATTCTATGCCCAGTAGCCTAGTGTGAGTTGATCTCTGGGTGATGGCCAACTTGGTCAAACGACCATCGTCAATTCGGCGATGTTTCGGATTTAGGTGTCTGTCGCCCCCTGCTTGCTCGGATATGCATCATCGCAGCGAACCCGCTGGGCCGGGGAGTCATGGAGGGGGCGACAGGCGTGCGCTCGTTGTTCGTCACTGAGTAATTTTGAACAGATTCTTTTGGTTTGCCATGTTTCTTCATTGTATGAGTGAAATAATCTAGTAGGGATGGGTAGAGACCGCCATTCTATTTGTCTAGACGATCCGAAGAAGTAGTAGAAGAAAAAAGTGAATACCTCTAACCTTTGGGTATAGTCACAGGCCCAACTCCTCAAACCAAAAGTAAAGAAAAAAGAGGAAGTCTTCTTTTGAGATAAATGAAGGCTTCCCGAAAACTTTTCATCTTTCTAAAAAAAAAAAAAACCGAGGAAATGTTTTTAAGACCTCTCTAAAAAAACGCCGTTATCCGAATATGCCGAGGGTAAAAAAAGAACCAAAGCCCAAACGCTCCAAAAATGCGCAACCGAAGAAGTAATTTTGTACCTGACTTCCGCCAGGGAAATGAGAATATCGTAGAGGGGAGTGGATGATAGTACAGTCGTGGTGAAAGAACTGCTTTTCACGGCAGTCTCTGTGTTCATCATGTGGTCTAAAGGGAGAATCTTGTTTCAAGGATTCTCAGCTGCGCCTCGCCATTCACTGTACCAGCATCGTCTCCCGGTGTTGCCGAGCCTTCTCCTCGGCGAAGACGATTCGGCTCATCTCAAGAACACGCTCGAAGCCCTCCTTTCCCTTGACGGCGTTCTCGCGGAAGCGATTTACCAGGGTGTCTTCGATACTGTTCTTGATGCGCTGCCAGCCGCCACAAAGGGCGGTGATGCGGGCGCTCTGGATAAACTGGGTCTGATGGTCGGTGAGGGGGCTGTAGACCACCTCCTCTTGTACGCTGACCAGGTTGTTCCAGGTCAGGTTCTGGCTCACCATGGTGAGTGTCTTGTTTGCAGGGTCGACGTAGGAGGCCTCGTATACGAAGTGGTCATCCATGGAGCCACCAATGAGGGACTTCATCCATTCGGGAGCGGACTGCTTGCAAGTGATCAATCGCTCGGTTCGCAGGATGCCGGTAGCAGGGTCGACGGAGCGAGAGAGGGTGTCGACGGCCACGACATGCTCGGACTTGTTGTTCCAGGGACCGTACTTTTGCCAGTTGGCTGTGGATACCTCGTCCCACGAGTAGTTGTAGGTGACGGTGTTGCTGAAGACCTTCATTTTGAGGTTGTGTAGGTTCAAAAGTGAGTGTCTTTTTTTAGGTTCTGGTGGACACGCGAAAGAGGCAAAAGATCTTGGCTGATAAAACAGTCAGAAGCTTTCGCGTGGTCCTGGGTTGAGGTGGTCGCGTGTGACTGTATCGGTGGAAAGAGTCAAATTTTCTTTCTATTTCTTATCGGCTCGGTAGGTAATTCCGGGGGGTCGCGAAATCGTCAATCTTCCAAAGTCGTAAGTCGTCAGGTGTATTAGAAAAGAAGGAAAAATAAAAAATGTATCCGCAAGTCTTGGACACGGATGAATTCTTTTCTATCCTCGCCAGGGTCTATAAAGAATTGCTGAGAGTGCCCGCGTGGGTGAAGGAATAGGTCTGGAGATAAGGGGAGGGAAGCGCCGAGAACGGGGTGGGACAATTAAGCAAGAAAAAACTTTGCGGTCTTTTTTTTTCTTGGGTTCACTGCCTCACACCCTTGAGGGCTCCTTCCCCGGGAGCCAACGCGATCTCACTAAGGGATGTACTAATTCTTATCCGACATGTGATAGGCCACCGTATTGGGTCTAGCGCATCGATAGCAGCCTCCCTGGAGGAGGGATTGGCACTTCCACAACCCCGGAGTCGCTTCTGTGGCTTCCGGTCCTTGTTAGGGGTGCCACAACGCAGTGCGGTACCAGTCTGTTTGCGGTAAGGCGCCAAGATGGCCGCGAGAAAGCCTCGGAAGCAGCTGAGAACATGGCGCTTCTCATTGGCCAGACCGTTCGCAATAAGCGGTAAAGCCCCCGGCGACGTCTCTGGCAGAAGGGAAGACTCGTGTGGAGCCAATTCTTCGGCTCTCCAGAATCTCATGGACCAGCGGGTGGGAACGGGTGGCGACAGTCGATCGTGCTCGCACGTTCGTCTCATCAAATCCGAGATGATCTAGATTGGCCTGCAGAGGCTTGCACCGCACCATGACTTCACCCATCGTCAATGCTACTGTATACATGCCGACTCAGCCACTTGGAATTTTTCTTTTCGTTTGCCACTCTGTTCCCCAGCCGTAGTATGTTCTCGATAGCTGCCATTCCTCCTAGATCGCTGTGACTTTTGCCTAGCTATTGTGTCGATATGATCCGAATAATTCCACATTACTAATTCTTTCCAGATCATCAAACAGTTCGGTCATACACAGTGTGTCGATATTGACAAGATAAGCAGATCGTAGTCAGACCAACTGTGCTATTTTTACGATCCCTCGATTAGTAGAGACAATCCATCAAGATCGGAACGAGCAAGTCGCCTACTAAGATCCATATGCCGAATCGAGGTGATGGGTGCCCCAAGAAACCCCAAGGACCCCTAGATTTACCGTGCACGCGAGTCAATTCACATTTGGGGAACTGAACGTGGCGTTTTTGCTTCTATTTTAGTTTTCGTCTTGCCCACCTTTCCATGCCTTTGTTCATTGTGCTCCCCGAGTTATACAACTGCCGGGTCAATTTTCGTGGCAGCCACTATGTAGTAGACGGTTTATGTAAGTTGAGGAGTGCATCATCGAGACTATGTACGCCGGTCGCCGTTTTTTAGAATATGGGGGAAGCCGTGTCTCAGAATTCATCCCACCATCTTTCACTGGTTCCTCGATCATCCGCCTCTTCCTCTTCCTCTTCCTTAATAGTCGTCTCCGCGAGAGATGACCTCCTTGACGGTGGGTCGAATCAGAATAGTCTGGGAATGTTAGCATCAGGTGTAGTTGTATTGGGCTGGGAACCACTCACATGCTCGAACTGAGCAGTGTACGAGCCCTTCTTGTCACACAAGGGCGGGTAAGCGTCAACGACGCCAGCGTTGACCAAGTTGTTAAGCTATTTGATGTTAGCACTGCCGAGGAAATCCATAGATGCATAGGTTTAAGAGAAGACTCACCCCGAGCAGGTACTTGTCCTGGCCAATGCGATCCAGGTACCGCCTGCAGAACGGCAGCGTCCCAAAGTTCTTGTTAATCACGCTGAGCAGCGACTTGGCCGAGCTGAGGCGCAGGTCCACGTGCCCGACGTCCTTGTTCTTGGCGTAGTGCGACGTCTCCATGTCGTCCCTCACGTAGCCGTTGCCCGTGCTGCCAAACGTCTCGATGGCGAACACGTCCCCTTCCTCCATCTTGGTGCTGTCGTTGCTCTTGACGATGGGCACGGCCTTGGTGCCGTGGATGCTGTAGGGCAGGATGTTGTGGCCCGTCAGGTTGCGGATGCTCTTGACGGGGTAGGTCTGCCCGTCGATCTCGACCTCGAAGCTCTCCATCGTCTCCTGGATGACGCCGCCAATCTCCCCCACGCGGGCGTCGATGCCCGCCTCGCGGATCCCCGCGTTGGTCGCCTCCTGGACGGCCTTGAGCAGGTTGTCGTACTTGTTGTCGAACGCCACCGTGAAGGCCGAGTCGACAATCTTGCCGTTGACGTGCACGCCAAAGTCCACCTTCATCACGTCCTCCTGGCTCAGGACCATCTTATTCCCGGCGTTGGGGGTGTAATGGGCGGCGCAGTGGTTCAGGCTCAGGCCGCAGGGGAAGCCCATACCGCCGATGAGCGCATCGCCCTCAGTCAGGCCGTCGTGGCCCGTGAGCGCCCTGACGCTGTTCTCGATGCCCTCGGCGATCTCCGTGAGAGTCTGCCCGGGCTTGATCGACTTCTTCGCATACTGCCGGACCTGGCGGTGGATCTCTGCGGCCTCGCGGTAGTCGGTCAGGAAGTCGCTGTTGAGGTTGTCCAGGTGGCGCTTCTCCTCGCTCGTGGTCCGGTAGCTGTTCTCCTCCCTGTACTCGACCTCCTCGCCGGGCGGGTAGTCCTTGTTGGGGAACAGGAGGCTGACCTTGACGGTCGGGGGGTAGGTCTGGCTCGTCGGCGTGGCCTTCTTCTTCTTCTTGGGCTTTCTCTTCTTCTTCTTCTTGGCGGCGCCCGTCGCGCCTCCCGGGGCAGCGCCGTCCTCCTCCTCGGAGTCGTCTGCGTGCTCGTCGTCGTTGGCGTCGCCAGCCTTGCCGTTCACCTTGGCGGATGTGTCATCCACTAAAACCCACGAAAACGACATCATCGCACGTCAGTAAATTGAGATCTCCGGGTTGGAATGGGACCTGGGCCTCACCTTTGAGCTCCTTCAGAGCCTCGGTGGGAGCCTGGGCTGCCATGTTGCTCTTCTGGTGGGATGCGAGTGTTTTTGGTGCAGAAGAACTGGATTCAGAGCCGCGGCGCAGAAGAATTATTCTTGCCCATCCAACATGTGTGCTGTGGGCAGCATTCGCCCAGGTTGGCAGCCACTGGACCAGGATGACCCCGCCAAAAATCCATTTGACACCCGGCACAGCGCACAGACCAGTGGCACACGGCCGATTACTTAGGCTAGACGGTACTCTTCCAGGTTACCCCGCGATCACTGCTTGGGGCTCATCAAGGACGGACTTGTGCTGCTAGAGTGAACAGACATTGATGATATTTCACCAGATGCTGGCTTTCAGGGTGTATTCTGTTTGTAGTGCTCCCGCTTCGCCGGCCATTGCCATATCCGCCTATGTACCTCGTGACGCGAGCGGTTCCCTGTCCCGCTTAAGTAGCCCGGAGAGCTGTCTGTTGATGTAAGTGGGTAGAGAGATAGAGGGGTGGAGAGTGAGTAATAATGTGGCAGCGACTCGAGCACCACCTTCATTAACCGGCTGCTTTGTCAAGCACATGCCCATCATCTCAAAGGAATCATTCCTACCTTACCTACTACTCATTGCATCTGGAGCTCTCGTACTCTTCCTCCCCTTCCGCTCAATCCCTATCACCATTTTCAAATCCTCTACTCTCTCGCACGAGGCCAGAGGCTAGGGTGAGTGTCGTCCTCATAGTAAGGATGGAGACTCAAGTGGAGAGGCTTGTTGAGAAGGCCTGGAAGATGTACGAGCAGACACCTTCAGATAAGCGCTTGTGTAAGTAGACTGCCCATACGTTCCACTCAGGCCTACCACCTACTTCAATTGACCATTGGGGAGATCGATTACGCTCTCAAATATCTTTTTCTTTATTCAATTATCCATCGCTCGCTAACATGTGCTAAAGTGATAGGGGTTGCGGGCATCCCTGGCTCAGGTAAATAAAGATCCAGCTTTCCAGTCATCAGTAAAAGGCTCTATATAGTGACATATATTTCGATTTATTTTTCCATCGCGAACAGGTAAAACAACACTCGCCGCCATAGTCAGCAGCCGTTTGCAAGACCGCGCCAGGGAGGCCGGGGCCAACGGCCAAGTATCCATCGCCCTATCCATGGACGGATTCCATAAGACTCGCGAAGAATTGTCGGCCATGCCAGATCCAGACACCGCTCATGCTCGACGCGGTGCAGCCTTTACATTTAATGCCGAGAAGTTTTTGGATCTCGTTACGAGCTTGAGGGGCAGCATTGGGGCGCCTGTCTTCGCGCCAACTTTTGATCACGCCCTCAAGGATCCGCGGGAAGCCGACATAGTCATTCAAGAAGCCACCCGCATCGTGATAGTAGAAGGACTCTACGTTTCATTAGATGAGCCGGTATGGAGAGATGCAGCAAAGCTGTTGGACGATATCTGGTTTGTCAATGTCGACTTCGAGGTGGCTCGGAGACGATTGCGTGAACGACACGTGCGAGCCGGAATTGTCAAAGATTTAGAGGAGGGAGATAGGAGAGCCCTCGAGAACGATTTAGTCAACGGAAAGGAGATTGTCGATAAGAAACTGCCAGTCTCCGAGATTATTCAAAGTAGGGATGACGGTTCCTGGGTTCATGAGTAGCAAGGCGGTCAAGCATAGCGAGAGCGTTGAAATGAAATGATCCTTCAGCATCCATATTAGCTGTGCCAGGAGAAGGGCTGGGATTGTGATGCTGAAATGTGTGCAGCAAAGGTGACAAGGTTCGAGGAGGGTCATATCGGTCATTTCGGTATGCTTGTGCCGGTGTCTTGGCTATTCGGTCGAGTTTCTCGGCCCATCCTCTACCGCAGGTTCTTCCTCCCTTCTGTTCATCTCGTTCATCCTCTGAGCCATGCTCGTCCCAACGCCTTTCCTGTTCTCCAAGGCAGCTGCCCACTGTTGTTTACCATTACTCTCTTGGTGTGGGGGTTCCAGTCCCAAGATGTCCATTAACTCGGGGACTTCACAATGATCGCGAGTCGTTCTCATCCGATGGCACCAAGTGACGGTTTTCTCCTCAACATTCCCTTCCTGCTGCTGGTCATGCTGTGGGTTGTTATGTGCCAACTCTCGAAGTCCCTTGGCTTTGAATGGATCCGGCTGCTCCTCGGTAGGCGTGCTGATGGGCGTCAACAGCTCTTTGGGCTCGAACAAGAACTCCCCTCCCACCTGACGCTGATTGCCAGATTTGAGCGTCATGCCCGAAGGAATAGCACGCAGGGCTTGGCCAATACTGTTGAATACAGAAGTGGACATGGGTCTCTTCATGTAGGCGGGCTTAGTCCCCATTGCAAGCGTCAGCCTCATCCCCAGGGCATCGAAGAGCAAGCGCTTGGGGTCCGTGTAGATTGGGAACTGGCAATTGGTCTCCTTGGCGTACATCTCAATCAAACCAGGGTCGCCGCACCCAATGACAACGATAAACGTGCTGACTGGGAGCTGTAACAACGAGGTGGGCGTAACCAGTTCGGAAAGTGACCGCATGTATTCTTGACAATTCTAATATCCGCCGAGTCAGCGATTAGTGCAGCGAGACGTACACACCATTGCCCAATGCAATCCAATGCGACCTGAATCAATTGGACAAGACTTTGACTTACACCACAGAAGAAATGGCGAATGAATATAACAAGCACCCGACGAGCTGCATTCGGCCCCGTGTACAGTGATCTGAAGGGGTGCGTCCTTCCATGCCGATCCAACACGATATAATTCTCGATGCTCTTCAGGGTCTCGTTGGACGGTATGTCGTCTGTGGTCTGGATCTCGCCCTCGAAGTCCTGCGGCCGCGTTCTGTCGACCTCGTCATAGGCCGGAGGGGCATCCCTGTAGGGTGGTGGGAGGCTATATATATCTTCGCTGGCCCTGGCGGGGGTCGCGTCCGCAATCGAATCCGAGGCTCTCGTGGACTGCGTCGGCAGTGCCGCCGCTACTGTGTGTGCTCGTTGCCTGTTCGCAGCATTGTCATCTGGCCTCGAAGATGGTCCCGGTGACAGCAATGCGGCCTGCGTCTCGGCGGCTGCTTGTGGATTTTGCTGGGGTCCTTCTTGTGGACTTGATGGTTGTGGTTGCTGTTCTGGCTGGGTCTGATCATCCTGCGGTGGCTGCTGCTGTTGTTGCTCCTGCGAGGCTCCTTCCTCCAGGCTCATGCTGCGCCCTGGTACAGGCTTCCTCCTCACCGTCAGCTTGGGCTGGAGGCTCGCGGAGCCGCCCTCTTCCGCCATCTTGGTGTCGAAGAGGCGTGAGGAGGTTGGAGATTCCAGAGGCCGGAACAATGAGGCCACCTGGAATACATAAGCAAAAGAAGGGAATTTTAGCACGTCCAGTAATCCCCAAACAAATCGCTTGGACCGCGAGCGACGATACAATGGACAGACCAGCTGGGGATTGGGGCTGTGCCCAAGTGCCTGCCACCTGCCAACCACTAATCTCGACCACCCGCCTGTCCCTCTGCATCTGATCACCCCCAGTTAGGTCTCACAGTGGGGTTGAGGGCGCCAAAAGTGCACCACTCCAGCCCAGTTACAGCTGCTGCGCCCTCTTGGACGTCACCTTGCCCCTGGCAACTACTCTCCAGCCGCTCCTCGCTAGTCACCTAAAACCCTTCAAGCTTACATTACGGTTGGTTCATTTGTTGTCTATTATCTATTTAAAGACATACAAAAAGACCCTGTAATGCGGTCCGTTGCGATTCCCCTTTTACGAATGTACAACTGGCGGCGTTGATGATGCTGCATTAACCCGATAAGCTGACTAAAAGCATGCTAAAGTGGCTGCGCAAACGGTCGATTCATTGGTAAACGGGCACTAAGATAAGGTTCTATGTCATGGCCACCGTAAAAACTAAGTGTCACACATGCCTCCAGCTCCATCTGCGCTGTACTGACAGCTAAGAGAAAGAGGGAATCGAAACCAAAATAATTCAATAAAAATGGATGACGAATCAGGTGGCATTCTCAACATCTCACTCTCAGACTCGGAGACGGAGGAGCAGCAGACGCCTGCCAAGCCCTCTGACCGCACGGGTCAGTCAGAGGAGGAGTTTCAGGCTGTCAAAAGAACATACCATGTCCGGATCGAAAATGGCAATGTACGCTCATTCTGCCCTGTCTTCCAATTCTCCCCTTCTTGAATTGGGTCGTATCCGCCCTTGCATTGACTCTCCTGTGTAGATCTCCGAAGACATCTCAATTCCCTTAGGCCCTAATCCTAACAAAATGCTGGTTCAGCAACTCATCCATGCTGTTGAGGAGCACTATTTCTTTCGCCGTTACGAGGAAGGCATCAGACTCGTCGAAAAGGTCTTGGGTGGAGAGGACTCTGCAACACTTGATGAAAGTATAAAAAACCAGTTGCTCTTGTACAAATCGTTTTGCAACAAAAAGCTCGATTTAGTCACCTAAATTTAGAGATTAAAGTCCACATCCCTCGTCGCCGTCAGAGGAGTTTGGCTTCTTGAAAGGCCAAATCCCGGAACAGTGAAACGTAGTAGCTGTAGGGCAGAAACATTGTCTACAAAGGGGAAGTTCGAGGCATTATATCTCATCAATTGCGATTTCCGAAGAACCAATCATATTATTACCCTATCAAAGTCAGAACCAATTAACTCTCGAAACCAATTAAGACCATTATCTCATCCATCTTTGTTCGTGCTCACTTCTGCAAAATTTCCCTTTCCTCGAACTCTGACTTTTATAACACGCGAGATCAAACACAGGTCTGGTAACTGTAGCATATCCCGGTAAGAACCGTCCTTTGGAAGAAACCACCAGGGGAAAGCATCGCGATCACCGATACCTATCCACTGGCATACATCGAAGAGCCAAGGCCACGGAGTGGCAGCTTAGTCCTCGTGGCTTGGGGAGGGCTAACCACCGGAGAGGAAGCAGGAGGCGCATCTGGAGTTTGGGAGGCATGCTGTCCGGCAGACTGAACATTCGCCGCAGTTGCAGCAGCACCCGGCGTCGATACTTTGTTTTCTGTCAAGGAGTGCGCTGTCGACCAGAGCTTGCTAACTGTGGCCGGATCAGGAGCTTCACGATTGGCAAAGTAGCGTCCACCTCCTGGCGACGGAAGTGCCTTTGCAGCCCCTTTCTCTGGTAGAAACTTGGCCCTCTTGATATCCTCGGGACAGTCCGTAGTCTTTGGTCTGAGGTGCTCGAGGTCCTCGGGCTTGTAAGAAATCGGCTTGAGAAACTCTTTCATCGATTCTGGAACCTTTTCACTTGTCGAACGATTGGCCATTTGGAGGACTTGTTTGATATGATCAAATCTCATATCGATGAACAAATGGAGGTTTGTGAGGAAGGCATCCTTGACCTTGCCGTAGGTCTCCGGTATCTTATTTTCCCGCCATTTCACATCCAGTGCCTCCTCAATCTCCTCATGAAGCTGCTTCCGTTGGTCTTCCCCTGCTGAAACCATTGTGGAAAACAGAGCTCCGGCTGCGTCCCACAATCCATCAAATGCCTTCCCAGTGACCTTTCGAGCAGTGGAGTTTGAAACTTTCTTCTCTAAAGTGTCCGAGGCAAGCGATTCTGTGATATTGATAAGGCACGCTTCCTTCTCGCTACTATGCAAAGCTTCCTTCTGCTCGGCTACCCCATTTGTAATCTGCGCTGTTTCTTGATCAGCCTTGGGTAGAGCCTCAGGTTCGTTCTCTGCGTTATTGGTGGGCTGCTCTGGATGGTCATCCTTGGACACAACATGTTGATGGTTGTTCTTGGCTTCAACCTCGTCTCTGTTGGATTTCGCAGTTGGGAGAACCTCTGGCTTTCCGGTCGACAGTGCTTTGCCAGTGTCTGATTTTGCAGTGGGGAGAACCTTCGGCTCTTCAGCAGAGAGTGCTTCGCCTCTATCGGGTTCTGCCTTGGGAGAAACTTCTTTCTGTTTAGCCGGTGATGTTGTTGATTCTTCTTTGGGGATAACATTTTCTTGAGTGTGCGCCAGCCACTTCTGAGTGTTGTGTACACAAGCGGAAAAGAGCTTCGTAGCCGCTGGGTCCGCAAACTCAAGAAAATACCTGGCATTTGGGCCACCTTTGGTCGTTAGAATACAGAATTGGCTCTCCGTCTGCGGAGTATCAAGTAGGGATATATCATGCTCCCTCGTACCACCCCTGGCACGAAGATGGAGGCAGGCACTCGGGGGAGAAACCTTGACCTTAATCTCAAACTCGACAGGAAAACGGCTCTCCGGACCCCCGCTACCAGGATAATTCATGAAAGTCCCAAAGTAGGCAACGGGTTCGTCCTCTCCATTGAATAGGGGGCCATTTTGAAAGACACAGTTCGCGAGACTAACCTCACCCGGGAGCTTGTCGTTGCTAGCTGTGGGATCTTGGTCGCGATTGATCGAATCATCTCGCTTAGCGCTGGCCTTTTCCACGGGCTGTGTGGTCTTTTCCACGGGCTGTGTGGTCTTTTCCACGGGCTGTGTGGTCTTTTCCACGGGCTGTGTGGTCTTCTCCACGGGCTGTGGTTTTTTCTCTGGTTCCGGCTTCTTCTGCACCTCCTTGTTGACAGGTGCAAAGGAAATAGTGTTGTCTTGCAACGGGCGTTTGGGTGCACTAGCTTTACGAGGTTTATCGCTGGTAAAAATCGGTCAGTACTGTTTGATAACCCTCATACGAAAGCTAGGATATTTCCAAAACAGTGCTCAGGGATGAAAATACTCACGGGGCAAGGCCATGGTGGCGCGTAGGGATGCCAGGTGGTGGATTGTTAGGCCGCCATGGACATTCTGACATTTCCAGACCCTCCATCTGTTCTGTTTCTTCATCTTTGATTATGCAATCTGCGAGAATGAGCCTCGAATCTGGATTAACTCGTATGTCATGGTATGTGCTTACTTGACCAGGCAGTCGATGCCTCCTTTGCTTTTTTCACGGAGACCTTGTTGTAGTGCGTACGCGACCCGTAGGGATCATAACTTGGGCCTTTACGTTGCTCATTGCTGAGTGGAAGCTCCTCCTGGCGATGGCGTCCCAGGTCTGCCTGTGATATATTAGCTGACTGTCGGCTTTCACGATATTTTCCACGAACCCAAGACCGTTCACGGTCATCGGTTTTGACACAAATCTCCTCTAGCCTCGTCCATGGGTTCGGCAGGTGATGGGGAATCCTCGTCGGCTCTGATTTCATGTGAAATGGGAAGGAGAGAAATGAAGAGTTCTTACCATAAGGCCCATGTAGGTGGCCGCAAGCTTCTTCTTATCTTCAGCCATAGTTATGTCTGTCGAGTTAAGAGAATAGGTAATCCTCTCCAGAAATAACCTAAAGGGAGGGAGCTGTCGAGTGGCAAGGCTGTTGCGTTGTACCTGGATGGCACGTGGAAAGAACGACCGCAGAGCAGGCAGATACGAAAACAACAGGGTGCGATTCACCAGGCAAAATGGTGATCGTGGGCATGAATTGGGAGAAATGAAGAGCAAGAAGCTTTAACAGGAACAGAAAGCCAGCCAGGATTGAGAATTCCTGGCGGCGGAGCACAGGAGAGGGTTTGTTTTTGCAGGAAGGCAGGTTGGAGTGGAGGAAAGAAAGAAGCCTTGGTTTTGGAGACTGGCTATGGGAATGGCAGCACAGTAACTGCTTGGTTTGATCGATCCCCCGCTAATGCAGTGAGATCTCTTTGAGAACAATTTGACTACTAGAGTGAAAAGGGCATATGCATGGCGCCGCGTCGTGAGTAGGTATTCCTAGAACTTGGACGGGCAAAGTGAGGATAAGAAAACAAGGATGTGCGGGAGGTACCGTGACGAGCTTTAGGCGTGGCCAGACGCGGTCACCTGCATGCAGGTGCTTTAATGTCTGCCCGGGCGGTCTGTTCGCAGTGCTCGCAGGTACCTTCCCTCTTATCGTGGCTGGCCGGGTCGGTGCTTGACATTTCCGTCAGGCAGGTGTGATGGGCAGCAGGAAATGGAAGCCCAGTTTCTCAGGCAAAAAGGTAAACAAACAGGCAGTCCCAATATCACGGATGCCCTGAGCACTCCCAGGTTTCTACCAAATACTGAGTAGGCAGCCATGCCTTTGAATCTCGAGGGTACTCCCATGAAACTCTCAGACATCCCAAAATGTATCCAACAGGAGCTGCCTTACAAGTTGATAATGCTAGGAGGTATCTAGCCGTAGTGAAACAATAATTCCAAGGTGGATGCACAGACGGACAGTGTAAGGCAGACCGTGACGGGAAACTCGTCGTTCCTGCCATTCCTCGGCTGAAATAGAGTTCAAGATGCATATGATCCTTGCATTGTCACTTCCGAATCATGGAAGTTGTATATTCCGTGGAGCAGGCTATTCATGCATTATATCACCAAGATGTAGTAAGTAGGGCAGGAAGCGAACTGATAGGTACCTACCTATGCAGTTAGTAAGATGCCTCGTACTACAGCGCATACATCTGGGCTGAGATGTTGGGAGAAAAGCTTGCTGCCTTTGTACCACATATAATTTCAGGTCGTTCATGCACTGAAAGTGATAAATGATCAGCAGGCTATTCCATTGGAGGTGCTTGCGAAAACAACCCGAATCCACAAGTCTGGATGAGCTCAGCAAACACCTGTGATAGCTTCGCAATGAGCTGATCGAGCTGGTACTCTTTGTGTGATTTGTGTCTCCTCCTACATCCTCCCCCCTGAAATTTATTTAAAGTAAGTCTGAGTCCTGGCAAACTCCATCCCCGCCGCAAAATGGAACAGCTTGGCCGCAACCACCATCCGCTCCTGCTTGGAGTACTCAACAAGCCGCTCGTACAGCTCCGCTATCGGGACAATCACCCTCTGTATGTGCTCCCCGTCCTCCAGCCGCTGCTCGGGTTCCTCGTCCCCCTCGCCCAGCTGCACCTCCACCATGGCCATCTGCATGTTGGCGTTCGACATGCCCGGGTCCGCCGACTGGACCGGGCTGACGCTCTTGACCACGCAGTCGTAGCCCGTCTCCTCCTTGAACTCGCGCACGGCCGCCTGCTCGGCCGTCTCCTCGGCGTCGATGAGCCCCGCCGGCCACTCGACCGTGTAGGAGTCCAGGGGCGGGCGGTACTGTATGACGAGTAAGGTGGAGGCGGGCTTGGACGGGTGCAGGAGGATGTTGCCCATGGCCACGGCATCGACGCCCGACTTGCCACGAGTCTTGCGCTGCGCGACCTCCCAGGATCGCGCCTTGCCGACCTGGTCCACGTAGTCGATCTTCTTGAGGGTTATCCACCGCGCCTCCTCGAGTGGGAGGTCGGAGATCTTGGTGATGACAGGTTCCTGGGTCTTGTGCGACATGATGAAACAGTAATTTCGGCTTTCTCAGTAAAGCTTTGTTCAGAATATGGTCAGCGTTCAAGTTCATACAGATTATTCTTCCAGGCAAAGCAATATTGGGCATGAAGGCTCAAATGCCGCAGCTGAAGATCAGCAAGGAATTGCTTAGGCAGGTACACACACCTAATGGTTATCAGATTGCTCTAGTTTGCTATCTTTGGTGAAACAAGAAGGTGAACAATCTAACGGGAATGCGAGCCAATGTGCAAAGTAACCTAATAATGTTGGGGAGAGTCAAAGTCTCTGGGTTATTAAGCACTGAGTGAGGGGCAGCGTTCGAAGATCGCTTACACCCAAAACCATCACAAAAGTGTCATTCTTCAGGCATCAACGAGAATTTCTTCCATCATTCAAAAGGAAGATGAAAAAGAGAAAATATTTCTAAATTTCAGCTCTTATCATAAGACTCCCGATTGTCCATGTCGCGCCAAACGCTTCCCATTCAAGACATCCCCAATGCCATCATGAGAGCTCTAGGGTGGGCTTGTGTCGCATATTCGCAATACAAGGCGGCTATGTCGCATGTCTCATTCAATGCCTCGAGTTGTAAATTCAGAATCTCTATCCCAATCTAATGTAAAAAAAAACCGGTTTATTTGGTTTATTTTGTTTGACTTTACTCGCTTGGATTTAATCCCTTGACCTGCAGCATCCACTTGACATTCTCAAATACCTCGGATTCATCTCCATCTAAATCTACAGGGAGGACATCTATCTCCCCAACGGCAGGCCTTTCACGCTCGCCTAAAATCGATATTTGTTGGTTTGGATCAGAAGTAGCCTGTAGATCGATGAAGAGGGTCTTGATGTTCTGTCGTGCAAGCGAATCTCGCAGCTGGAAGCGCCACGACTGGCTCATAGTAGAGCTAGTAAGCACAACTGAGGGATGGGAAAGCTCCAGAAGGACTTCGGTGATACGAGATGAGAGGCGAGAGAGCCAGCCGGTAGTATCCTCAAGTGATATAGCAACACCCTGGCGCAGCTTCTCAATGGCAGGCCGTGTGTGTAGCGACTGACCCTCAACTAAGGGGACGGAAAGCCAGTATGAAACATTTCGTCCTATAGCTGTACTTGTGGCTTCATCAATCCCAGATACGAAGACTGCAAACTTGGGATATGTCGTACTCTCAGGGAGAGCCGTCCATGCGTTCTGCAGAAAGTATTCCGTGAATTTCTTCACAAACCCCTGATCAAGAACAGGCGCGTTTGCCAGAGAAGGAGAAAGAGATTGTGCAACATCAGTAGCGAACAGTTTAGATGGCGCAAACTCATCCTTGTCATACTTGGAGGCAAAGAAATCGACAAGCTTGATAGGGGGATTCAGCTTTGGGTCAGGGTTTGATGCACGGAGGCGTCGAACCCACTCCTTTGGCTCGACCTGCTCAAACTCGAGGCCGGCTTCTTTCAAGGCGGGCAGCAAGTCTTTGACGAAGTCAAAAGTCTTTGGGTGTGTCACGTTGGCGAAGAGGCTCCCAGCGTCAGACAAGGATATGTCAGTAATGGACTCGGCCGCAGTGTCAACTGGCAACCACGAAGGGGTTTCTTGGAGTTTGGGTAAAGAGCCAACAGTCAGGGCCGTTTGAAGCATCATGGGCACCGCTTCCTGTGCGTTCCAAACGCCATGCTGTGTGTCACCAACAAGCTGTCCGACCCGCAGCACCCTGACTTTCACGCCCTGCCCAGCAGCATTGGCACAGATATGCTCAGCAACAGATTTGGATTGAGCGTATCCCATGCCTTGTGCCCAGCCCAGATCCGGGACAGCCTCCGGTACTGGAATTACAGTCGATCTAACGCATGTGCTGATAGACGAGCAAAAGTTCATAGACGGCTTCGCAGGGGAAGTGTGGCACAAGTCAAGAAGATGGCGTACCCCGACGATATTACTCTTCTCGAAACTTGAAAGCTGCATGTTGAAGTTGACTGACCAAGCGCAGTGGATGACGGCGATCAAGTCCTTCGATATGGAGGTGTAAACATCTTCTGATAACCCAAGCCTGCTATCAGTCAGATCTGAGGAGAGTGCCACAATCTTGTGTCTTTCTTCTTGTGACAAGGTGTGAAGCAAGCGCCGTTGAATCAATGACTCTACAACTCGTTTTTGAGCTGAAGATGAGTTAGGGGCACGAGCGAGACACACAATCTTCCTGATTTTGGGATTAGGAGCAAGCTTGACCGCTACATGAGCTCCCAGAGAGCCGGTTGCCCCTGTGAGAACCTATAATCTGGTTAGTATCGAACTCGGCAATGGAGGGGGAAATTAGCATCTTTGTGTTCGATAATCTATCCGAATGGGTTTGAACATACCACTGTCGAAGCTTGAGCGGCCCCTAGAGTCTTGTATTTGTTGATAAGATCTTGCATTTCTGACTCAACAGAAGACTTTTGATCCGCGGCTTGCCCAATACTAAGACTATAGAGAAACGAACTCAATTTCTCAATCGAAGGGTAGTCAAACGCAATGTTTTGACCAAGCTTACGACCCTCTCCGAGATCAACATTTCTGAGAATGCTGCTTCGCATTTGAATGGCCTGCAGTGAATCAAGACCGAGAAGAAAGAAGTCAGTAGTATCCTCAACTTGACCGGCAGCTGGGAGGCTATCGCTCAACAAGTTTCGAACAAATACTCGCATCTCAGCAAGATTGAGCTTTTGACGATTAGCGGTCTCTGCGTCTTTCTCGTCGTAAGCTTCCTCTATCTCCTTCTGAAACGTCTTATAAAAGGCCTGGCGGATGATGCTGCCCTTATCCGTGCGAGGGTACGCGCAGTCTGTCGGCAACAGTTTGATCATGCTCTTGGAGATGTGAGCAAATGAGTCGACAGATTGGTTGGCCGATTTCACCACAGGCCAAATTACGTCGAGGATCTCCTCCTGTGGCTTTCCAGAAAGAGAGGGAGCTGGAACGATCAACGCGC